TGTCAGCCAGATCGTCCCAAGAGGTGATGGACAATGAGGGCTGGGTCTCCAACCACCTCTTAGCATTCCCCGCCAGAGAATGGGGGAAGAGGTGAAGGCGGATTGCGTCATCCGGGACACCGTTCAGCTTGAACCCGTTCGTCAGCTGCAGAAAACGGGAAAGATGTACCCGGGCTTCCTCATCCTTCAAGCCATGGAACTGGATAGAGGATGTGATGAGTTGAATCCAGCATGGCTTGTTCTCGAAGTTGTTTGCAGGAATGGGTGGATAGAGGATGACCGGGCGGATGTCAGCAATCCGTGGAGTATAGTAGTACTCCAAGGTGGGACCCGGTGGTGGTGGATGATGATGGTTCCCAACTCCCTGGGGATTTGGGTCATTCCCCAGGATCTGGTTCACCGGAGGTGGGTTCTGATCGCTTTCCAATTCGTACTCGTCCTCGGAGTCGCTGCTCAATTGGCCGTCTCTGCGCTCCACCGTAGCCAGTCTAGCTCGCTGTTGTCTCCGAAGTTGTTTGCAGGTGCGCTCAATCTCAGGATTCAACGGCAGTAAACCTCCCGACTGGCTACGGGTCATGCACTATCTGCACACAATCAAGCAATGCAAACCCGTGAAGGCACAAGTGGGAAAGAACAAACACTCAATGCGAAAATAAAAATGCTAAAGTAACAGAAATCACTTTTCTTCAACAACCTAGCCGTCCCCGGCAACGGCGCCAAAAACTTGACTCACTCCTACTGTCACTCTAGAAAATGGCCAAGTGGAACCACTTCCTAAAGCGTAGTATAGCGAGTTTGAATTTTATTGTCAACCCGGGTCCTAGATGTGATGACTACTCGGTGAATTCTTGTTATTTAGCAGTGAACTTTTAGTGCAAATCAAGCAAACAAAACACAAAGCAAGTAAACGGTTGTTGTCAAGTCAAGAGAGGTCACCCGGATATGGATCCCCCTAGACTGCAGTTAAGTCGGATTGCAATTTACCAAGTTCAGTCTTTATGAAAGTTATACTGCGGAAGGTTCTTAATTAGCCTGAAGTCTCGACTAAAGGTCTCCAGACCCTCTCAATCTGAGTCTCTAGCGGGCGACTAACCTCCACCGGAGTAAACAGATTGAGGCCCTAACGAACCAAACCTCCACTACCGAATTGAATTCGGTACAGAATAGCGAATTGGCTCCTCGACTAAAGTCACCAATTCGCCACCTTCGATTAAGGGTACTCTATCAACCTAGGCAGATATTCTCATTCTAGGTCAAAGCAGAAACAACAGGAATTTGATCAGGATTCAAGTCATTCAATCATTCAAACCTCAATCGAATATAATCAATTCACAAACTCTGTACTTGGGTTCATACAATCAGACCTAGCATACAAATCTAGGGTTCCCCATACCCAGATGAATGGGGAAACTACTCCATAGAGAAAGAAGCAAAAGCAGATTCAGACGCGGAAATCATACTGTGAAGATGGATTTCTGCTCCTGGACGTTTAATCGCACTTCTCCAAGCTCAAGCCGGGCTCCAATGGTGATGAAGATCGAGCTATGACACTTGGGAACTCTGGTTCGTCGCTTTCTCTCTCTAGGTATCGCTTTCTCTCTCAAAAACTCGAAACCCTTTGAAAGTTGGCCCTCTTTTACTTTTATCAGCTGCCATAGCGATACCCGGTCGAAATACCCGGTCGGGTATTTTGGGGTTCGACCGGGTATTATCCAAAACGCGCGCGTCCTCAAAGAGAAAATCCCCGGTCTGCCTCTGTAATCCCCGACCGGGGATTTTGGCATTCTGCCCGGGCCCCTCTCTGGTTCTCGGGCGCCCAAAAATAGTAAATACCCGGTCGGGTATTTGCCCACCTGACCGGGTATTTTCCTCCCGCGGCTTACTTTGTCCCAACTTCGCTCCTTTCGACCCAGAAATCGCTCCTCCGCCTCGATTCCAACGCCGGGACCTGAAATATGACATAAACACATACCCTAGCGTGAAATCGGCTTAAAACACTAGAATCCACATCTCAAACGGCTTCAGAATGGGGTGAATACATGTGTAATTATTGGTCTATCAACAGACGTTGGCCCAAGAGGAGGAATGGGAGACTTCTACAATGTAGTAGCTGACACAAACTTTGGATGAGGTTTTTGAATATTATTTTTACCACGAGTGACAATTGGATGCATAATAGGTAGTTGGTGAGATGAAGTGTGACGAGGAGCAGGTGAGGCAGCTGAGTCAGGCAGTTGAGAACCTGATGAAGAACCTATCTCAATGGATGTATAATAGGTGGTTGGCGAGATTCGGACTCCCAAATTTGGGTTTCTCACTTATGGGTCTCTTGGATCCATTGTCTTGGGATAATTGAGAAGCCAATGGAACATGTCGTGGTCTCTTTCGCAATGCTTTGAACGATATGTGCTTCAGAAAGCTTGAAGCTTGGAGGATCCCTCTGGTCGACTATGCTTTTTCTTTTCTGTTCAGCTATGTCGGAGAGATCATTGGAAGAAAATTTCAATTGTTTGAGTTGTTAACCATAGTTTATGAAAATGATGAATATACTTATTGGTTTTGGAATCTTTGAGGATCTGGGGTTATGGTTGAAACAGTGAATTGACTGGAGATGGTAGGGAATGAAAGGTAAAAAAGAAAGGTTTTATGGGTTTGGGTTAAGGTGTTGCATCTCCAGCGATGAATGAGCGAAGGAGGAAGACAAATAGAAAGACAGAGGGCAATACTAACCTCCATTTTTATACTGAAATACTGAGTCTATAACCAAACGAGATATTTCATCCAAATCTCACACGTAAATAACCTAATTTTTAAACGAGAGTTATGAGCCCAAATTCCTCGTTATTAAAAACCATCATCCAAACGACCCCCTAAAGTGTAAGAGGTTATTTGGATGGATGATTTCAATGAGTTATTTCAGGCCAAATAACTCCTGTCACCTTCCTTCTACCCCTTTTCTTCGAATCCTTGAATTCTTCTGTCCGGAAACAAAATCAATTGAGGGACGAAGCAAGATAATTCAACTCAATTTAAATACCACAAGTTAAATAAATCATATGAATGGTTAACCCAAGCAAAATAATTCAACTCAATTTCTGGATGAAGTATTTGAGTGAGTTATTTGGGTTCAAATAACTTGAGGGGTCGTTTGGATGGGTTAATTGTCAATGTGGTATTTGTAGAGTCAAATAACTCATTTATTCTTCATGTGGTATTTTAGTGTTATTTCAATGGTAATTGAAATAAATTATCTGATTTGGTTGAACCATGCAAATGTGGTATTTGACATGTGGTATTTGGTAAAAGCAGAGTGATAAAACGAGTTATTTCGAAATAACACATGGGTATAAGTTATTTCAAATAACTCGTTTTGAGTTATTTGTAAATAACTCACTGTCCAGATAACTCATTTCAGTAAAACACTGCCAAATGAGTTATTTGCATCCAAATAACTCATTGTGAGTTATTTGAACCCAAATAACTCATACAAATACTTCATCCAAACGACCCCTGAGTTATTTGAACCCAAATAACTCATACAAATACTTCATCCAAACGACCCCTGAGTTATTTGAACCCAAATAACTCGTTTGCATCATTAACTGAAATGAGTTATTTACAAATAAATCAAAGCGAGATATTTAAAATAACTCCTACCCCGTGTTATTTCAAAATAACTCATTTTACCACTCTGGTTGTGCCAAATATCACATGTCAAATACCACATTTACATGGTTCTACCAAACGGGATATTTTAATCTATTTGCCACTGAAATAACAGTAAAATACCAAATAAACAATAAATGAGTTATTTGACTCTACAAATAAGGATGTCAATAGGTCGGGTTGGGTTGGACTTTCCCAAACCCAAACCCAAACCCAAATCCATGGGTTTATCAGTGAATAAAACCTGGGGTAAAACCCACTGGGTTTGAGAAACTCAAATCCAACCCAACCCACTGGGTATCCGCGGGTTCATGGGTACCCATGGATTTTTGTCGTAAAAAATTTACAATAACAAGTTCCTATCAAAATTAAAGTCAAATATCAATCTTTCAATACAAATTATCCATATATAAAACACCATTATAGAAAATTCAAGCAAATCACAATTTAACTATACAAATTGTTCAACACCAATCTAGAAAACTCAAGAAAATTGGGGTCGTTTGGATGGATCAATCTAGAAATGAGTCAATTTGATCAATTGTCTCGTTTTATAAACGAGACAATTAAAACGAGTCCATTCGAATTACCTGCCTCCACCCCAGGTAATTGAAATTGACTCAAAACGGATCAATTCAAAATACCTCAGGCAGATTGATCCATCCAGATTTTTTGCTGGCAAACGAGGCAATTCGGTACAATTGTCTCAAAACGAAACAATTGTGTCAAATTGATCCGTTACAATTCATCATCCAAACGACGAAGCAAATCACAAATTATCCATAAATAACATGATTAATTGAAAGATTCTTTCTCCTTGTCAATTAAGTTTCTTCACTCTCCACTCGATACAATCAACTTCATTGTACACAATTAGAAATAAAAAATTAGACATGTCTCCACAAACATAAATAAGATTAGTTGTTTAGAATATTAAATATACCGAGAAATTAATTATATGGGTGTGGGCGTGTACCCATGGGGCGGGTTTACCTAAACGCAAACCTAACCCAACCCGGTGAATAGTGAATGGGTTAAACCCATACCTAGCCCAAAACCCGTCAAAATGGATTTTACTCGCATTAACCGAGTTGGTAGGATGGGTACCCGTGGATTCGGGTTTTGTTGCCATCCCTATCTACAAATATCACATTGACAAATAACCAACCTAAAAAATAATTCATCAGCATCTTTCTGTGAAATGCAGTTAGGCCCGAAAATAGATGGTGGATACGGGTATAGTTGGGCCCAACCAGTTTTATTCCTTAGTTGAAAAGCCCACTGCATAAATATCATAGGATGGATGAAAACCAGGCCTGAATAACAGAAAAGACCCGAGGTCGCGCTTTCTCATCGTCGGTACATAGTCAGTCGTCATCTCACCGGCTCGCTCACTTTCACGGAGCTGTTGTGTCTTGTGTTGTGTGTAGTACTTAGCGATCCATTCATAAGCAGGCAGCCGATCGATCTCGAAGCACCACGGAGAGACGGCGAAAGAAAATATTGAGGAAATGGCAGAGGATCCCGAGAAGAAATTCCACTCCATCATGGACAAGCTCTTTAGTTCCTCCAAGTCCTCCTCTCTTAGGTAATCCCCCCAAGGCCTTCCTATCTGTTTGGTTCCTGTGAAAAATTGCTGGAAAAAGAAACCAAATGGAAAGAAAAGACGGAGCGCGGGTTCCAGCTAATGGTTTCCATCGTCCAAAATTTAGTTGCTCTTCAATTGTATTTGTTTCTCCGCATAAGAATTGGACTCGAGGTTGCTTCGGCTCGGCTAGGCTGTTTCTGAGTTTGATTATGGAAATTTTGGATCTCTTTTATGTCTTTTATGTTTTATCTGTGTTAGTATGCTCATTTTGGAGTTGAATTTTGGCTGTACTGTTTGCTCGTTTAACTTACTTTTGTCTCTCGTGCTTGGTAGTTCGTCCATGGGAGAATCGTCGAGAGGGAAGAAGCGGCCGAATCCCGAGCCTGCATTAGCTTTAGTGGAACCAAGAGCGATGGTGGATATCCTCGATGTTTCTCGGCGCTCTTCAGTAGCTCAGAGCAATGCTCCATTGTGTAGACCGTGGGACAGAGGTGACTTAATGAAGAGGGTGGCTACTTTTAAATCCATGACTTGGTTCGGCAAGCCAAAGGTCTGTTACAGTCTTCCTGCGTAGTAGTATTTCATTTTCTGGTGTCAGACTTGTGGTTCTACTTACAGTTAAAAGTGCATTATCTTTTCGGCATCATCTATGGGGATGAACGAGGTACTTGTGAGGTTAACTCATTCGAACATGGCAAAATTGTTTGTGTAAGGTGAAGTGCTGAAGTCAGTTTTATTATTGATTGTGTTGATACTGTATATACTTATGCAATTTGCGGGATAGAGCGAGAATGTGTGGACTGATGCCCTATTGTAGGATATAGGTTCTGGAGGGTTGTATCTTTTGATGATTATCATGCCGTTTGTGAGAGAATGGCATAGTTGTGTAGGATTGCCTTCATATTGCTTTGTCCGATTTCCAATTCACTACTGTATTAGTTGAATCATTTATGTGTACCGAGTCTGTCGTTTATGGATTTGTTGATTTAACGTCTTCCCTAAATATTAGGCTGTAAATGCTGTGAACTGTGCAAGGAGGGGGTGGATCAATGTGGACACAGATATCATAGCATGCGAAGCATGTGCTGCACGTCTCCTTTTTTCAACTCCATCATCTTGGCCACAGCAGCAAGGCAAGCAATGCCCTCTGCTGATGAGTATATCTATTGAACTGCTTGTTCAAGGTTTATCTTTGTTGAAATCATTTTTTTAATTCTTTAATCCAGTTGAAAAGGCAGCATTGGTATTTAGCTTAAAGCTGGATAGTGGACACAAGTTACTGTGTCCATGGGGTGACAACGCATGTGATGAAAGATTGGCAGAATTTCCTCCCACCCCCTTTCCGGTTCTAGCTGATAAATTCAAAGAACGCTCCTCAAAACTTCTGCAGCTCCTGGCACTTCCTGTAGTTTCATCGTCAGCCATCGAATACATGAGAAGTCCACAGCTGGAAGAATTTCTTAGCCAGTCTTCAACACTCGACCTCTGCAATGAATCTCCCAGTATGTCCGAAATAGAGTTCTTGGGAAATGAGAAAGAAGCTGACAGTGCAAACTTGTATTATCAGGTTCATACTTCTCACTTTTATGATGTCTTATTGCTATATCTTCGTGCCAGCTTGCCTTCAAAGTTATTTTTTCATATACGATCATTTACTGCACAAATATGACATTGTACGCATGTGAGTCTTCCAGATTATAGCAGAGGATTTGTAATGAAACATACTCTTTTATACTAACTTTCCTAAGAATCTGTCTTAATGTTCAACACTGATTTTGATATTTGACAGGCACAAAAGTTAATTAGTCTGTGTGGTTGGGAACCACGTTTACTACCTTATGTTGTTGATTGCATTGAGAAACCAAAGGGGTCTGAAATTTTGAAGTCATCTCTTGCTGATTCTACAAGAAATAGTTCAAGCAATGTCTGCTCAGCTGCTACTGGAGAAAGAGAGGTTAATGAAGAAGGTGGGAACAATATTGTCTCGTCTGTTGATCCTAATTCCATTGTTTTGGATTGTGGGCTTTGCGGAGCTAGTGTGGGATTGTGGACCTATTCTACAGTTCCAAGGCCTTTGGAGTTGTTTAGGGTGGCTGGAGTAGTAGAAGTAAATGGCAACAGGAGTGGAGGGCAAGAACTAGAAAATGCAGATCCTGTTAACAAAGACGGAGTTTTAACTTCGTCCTCAAATAGTTTTCTGTTTCCCCCCACAAATATGAAATTCACTATTGCTGGGGGTCCTCCACCAACAAAGCAGAACTTCAAAGCAACAGTATCACTGCCTGTTATTGGGAGGAATTTGAGGGCCAGGCTGTCATATGACAAGGATTTTGGAGACCATTCAAGTGGAAGCCAGTTGGATCCTGCATCTCAGTCTGAAAAATTAATTATGTCGAACATGGAAAAGGATCACACTGAAGACAAGGCAGGTGATAATCCACCTCAATCCGAGACACTGGAGTCGTCAAAGAGCAAAGAAAATGATCAAAGGCAGGTTAGTGCTTCAAACAGTGAGAATCCGTCTGTGATCAGCCCTGGAGGATGTGAAACTCCTGAAATAGATAATGCTCTGCCGCAGTTGGAAGAAAGCACAAGTGTTGTTCCAAATACGCATTCAAACCAATCTGAAAGTTCGACCATCCAAAACAGTTTGATATCTGCTGAAAAAAGCAACAGTGGCACTGGAGGACCACAGAATCGAGCTAATGGAGATGTTTTGCTCTCGGGTACTGGTAAGCAAAATTTTCTATTCGTGCCTTCTCTCTTTTGTTCTTTAAGAAGCTGGTTAGTTATCCCTTATCCACTTTTGGCATTATGATTCATAAGGCTTTCATTTCCTAAAGATATTTTTATAATGATTCTTTCACTGGATGCATATATTTTGTTTGGACAGCCATACACACTTGCATGCTTGAGTTTGTAACCAGAGCTAGTATTGTACTTAGGACTAGTTCTGCACTTGTGTTCGCTGAATCCATTAATTTATCCCATATCGTGGTGGGTTTTGCACATGGAAATGAATATCTCTTTCATATGTCCGTAGTTTTGTCTTTTAAATCAAATAAGTGCATTCTTTTGCTCTTTCAGCCATGATAGGTTTGATCAAAATCTGAGTTTTGATGGTTTCCATCACTGTTTTCTTTCTGCAACCTTGGTCATTGTTACTTGTCTTGAGAAAGTTCTTGATTGATGCTTAATATATCCCCGAGCTGTGCTCTGGAGTCATGCTGCCCAGGATTGTTGTGTGGCTCTCTGCTTGATTGTTAACTCTTGGTTTTGAAAGAATCTCCAATCCTTTCGATTTGGTGCAGTTAAGGAATTCAAGGAACTTTCATCAAACAGAAGTATGGATTTTGATCCAATCAGACAGCACAGGCACTTTTGTCCATGGATTGTGTCGACCAACAGTGGCGCACCAGGCTGGCAGCAAACTCTGACTGCTTTGCAACGCCAGAATGATCGGTCTAATTCGTCACCCAAAACTCCTTCAACCTCTTCGATTATCAAGGTAACAGAAGTCTCTTAGTCTGTTCTCAAAATAGTTATGGATGGACTCGTTGGTTAAGTTAGGCTAGAAACTATTGAAATAGGCCATTACTTTGTCTTGGATTGCTTATATTAGGGAACAGCACTGGCTTAATTTGTTATGTGCTTACATATGGGTATTCTTAATTGACTTTTTGTTGTTGAACAGGTGAACGATCCCATAACTTCAGTTAGAAGGCTTTTTAGGTCTCCATCAGCCAAAAGACCAAAGCTCACACCCGGATCAAGCTGAAGCATCATTTCATTTGTAGCTAAGCAATTTTACCAGGTGCGGATACGTTACTGCTTGACCTTGAGATCAAGAATGCTGTGAACATACAGTCTCTAATGATCCAGTAGTTACATTTTCCATGACCATTCACTCATTTTTTATGGAGAATAGCCCATTCATAAGTTCAGTGTCTACTCTTGTCTTTTCCTGGATAGTAAGTCCGTTCCGCTAGAAAAACAATAATGGACAAAAAGAATGAAAGAACTGGAAGGTCTTACAACCCGAAGAACTTTCTTCATTCCATCAAACCACAGTTTGTGACGATCACCTTTGAATATGGCCTATTGAAACCTCTTTCTGCAACCACAGCCCTCTTGTCGCCTATAAGCTTTGCCACTCTGTTCACAAAACAGAGTCAGAACTCTATTCTTTGTATTTATGCAACATGAATGAACTGCGTATAGTGGAAAGCATAACTTTTTAGTTTGTCTTCCTACCATATTCATGGTTCAATGTCTAAGAAGAATATATGCTGGCATATATAGTTGATTCAGTCATTGAGGTTTCTATTGCATTTCGGAATATCCATTAGAACAAATAAAATCAGCTAGCTGACATTTCTCACCTGAAGTAAGGAGAGGTAGTATTGTCCTGCACCGTCTTCACTTGTCCAATCTTCTCGACAACCTCCATCCCTTCCAACACTCTCCCAATCACCAAAGCTGCAGCATCAAGCTCAGGCGAATCCTTAGTTGCGATCACAAACTCTGTACCATTCGGATCACTCCCAACCTCTTCCTCGTCAATCTCCAGCTTCCCTTTCTTTGCCACCAACTTCAGCTTCGGTGGTGGCTTTAACGGATTCCTAACAATAATCCCTACACTCCCTGCCAAGTTCTTGGTTCCAACAGTGCACCTCTCATTCTGTGCCTGCCATTCATCCACCAAGGTTTCAGCCGCCAAATCGCCCCCTGTCGTGCTCCTAGCCAGATCAGCATCCACGCCATAGGATCTCACTCCACCGTGTTGCACATAGTTTGATGTGATTTTGATGAATTCTTTCCTTCTGTAGGTGATGCCAGCTTTCCCACTCACTAGTTTACTAAACCTGGAAGCTCCAACTGGGACAACATCATCGTACAGACCAATGACTACTCGTCCTGCTGGCTTCCCATCAATGGATATATCAAGAAATGCCCGTGATGTAGGCTCTTGACTACTGCTGCTGCACAATTGTTCACCACCACTGCCTTCTTTGATGCTATCTTCAGCTCTCGCTTTACGTCCCAGCAGAAGCAGCAACGATGCATTGCTGAAAACTGCGAGCTCTCTGCGTGAGAACTGTTTTGGGGATTCTCTGAGAAGGGGTAGTGATGGAGTGACAGGAGAACTGTGTGTAATTGGCGGCAGTGGCGTCGGAGCATGACGATGATGATGATGATGATGATGATGATGGAGGTTAATGGTGGATTGGAAGATTCTGGAGTTGTGTAACATTTCTATTTTTTAGTATTTTTGGCTTCAGGTTTCTGAGTCTTGGGAATATGTCTGTGTGACTCTGTGCAAAGGGCAGTGCTATGGTTCTCTATAGATAAGGAAAGGGAAAGAAGCTGATGGCTTCTTGTAATTGGTTGTTATTCTATCTCAAACGGCCAGCAAAGAGGATGTCTTTGTGGGCCAAAGGGTATAATGGGCCAGGATATTGTAAGCCCCCTTCCACTACGCTCAATCATATTATTGTGTATTTTCTTTACCGCGGCTGGGCCAATTTAGCATAGGATTGTTTGTATCTAGGACTGCAGTTCTGCAAATGAGTCATCGTGAGCCAAGTTGCTCACGGGTAGTTCAATATTCGCTTTGGGGAAAGCTTGTTGTTTGTAACGGTTGCAATTTTGAATGGTGTGAATGAGAATGAAAGGGGAAGGAGTCAAGAGAAATTCTTGAAATACCATATTGGTTATTTATGTGAAAGACGAAAGAGACTTTGGATTCGGTCGATTGATTTTATTAAACCTTTTGGTAATTGGTTAAATTGGGTTGTGTAACCAACTGGACCAAACTGACCGAACTGATGTGGCGGTTGGAGTGAAGCAATCGCTCCAACTATCATGGGCTGAACCTATACAATAGTTCATAATTTTACAACGAACCAATGTGTTGGTTGGGGTGTAACCACCCAGCCGAAGGGTCGCATCCTTTCACTCGCACCCCTTCATTTTCTATAAATAACACCGACCCTCTCTGTTTTAGTATGTGAGTTTTCCTAAAAGGATTTTCGGCCGAAAGAAAGAAAATGTGTGTTCTCCTTCATTAAATTTTCCTCTCTACAAATGCATTAAAGAAAATAGAGTCGTGTGACTTCTTGCCGTTCGTTGCGTTCGTTGATTTTTTAGGTTTCAAGTACTGTTATGCCAGAAGGTATGTTCGTTCTATCTTGGAAGGAATAGTTCCATAATCTTGGGTATAGGGATGGCAAAAATATCCGTAACCGTGGATATCCGCCCGAATCCGGCCTAGTAGGGTAGGGTAAAACCCGAACCCGAAGGACATTTAGTGGGTACGGGTAAAACCCGAACCCGAATATTGTGGGTAATGGGTGGGCATGGATTTCTCACTATCCGACCCGAACCCGCCCGATTATGCACATGCATATGTATTTTGTCTAGAAATAATCATTATTTTTCTCAAACATATTTTATATTTAGCATATAAATATACATTTTCATGAAATTGTGTTGTTTTAGTTAATTTTCTTCATTCTAGTGAATTCTTGTCGTACTTTTTCTCTTACTTAATATAAGAATACGTGTGAATGTTAACATATAGGTTGGAGTTATGAAGAGAAATTAATATCCATGGATAACCGTGGATACCCAAAATCCGAACGAGTATGGGCATGATTTTGATTTTCTACACGTTTCACATGTGGGTATGGGTATGGGTAAAACCCGAAGTACTTTGGGTAGGGTAACGGATATGCACTATCCGCCCCCGACCCGACCCATTGCCATCCCTACTTGGGTACCGTATAGGGGAACTAAATTCTTTAAGGAGAAATAGTGAATTATATTGGCTCAGACGTGTTTATGCATGAGTCGTGATTTCTTCTCCATAACCTTTTGTCACTTTGATTTCTTTGTGTTACTTGTTTTGCAAGAAACATGGTATACGTGAACAATTTTCACAACAGTAACTTGGCTTGTTAGTAAAGGAGCCGAGTTTGAGCTCATCCATGTTCGACTCATGAGGCTCGTGAGCTAACTTGACTCCATGGCTCATTGAGTTCAACTAGTGAGCTGACCAAGGTTGACTCAATGTTCCAACGATGCTTGGGACAAGTTTGAGAAGGTAAGCTAAGCTTCTGGCCGAGTTTGATGCACCTAGTTGTTGCTCAAAACGACAGGAAATAAGCGCAATACTCACATTGTTCGCGACCGTATTGATTGTGTAATGCGGGAGATGAATGAAATTCGACCAATGATTAATCAATGAAAACTATTGCCAAGGAACTCCAAGAGATCGAAGATCTTATCACCAAGAGATCTAATTTGTTGAAGAAGCTGGAGGAACTTTGTTGGTTGGCCCGAGTTATGATAGGAATTTGATAATATTCTACGGATTGGAGTATAATGCTGAAAAGTTGGTGGTTGTTGAAGATTATGTGTAAATAATGTAATTGAAACGGATTTTTTGATTGTTATTATGGTAGGTTGTCGAATTTGAGTTCAAATTTGGATAGTGATTATGTTACTGTTGGTGTCGTTCCTTACAAGGACCCTGAACTTGGTGTTATAAGATGTTTATTATGTTTGGATCTTACTATAGATTGATGTAAGGATTCAGAAAGACTTCAACTTTGTCATTCATTGTAACAAGGTTTAATCCAGTGCTGTCAAAGCCGAACCGAGCCGGCCGGACCGCCAAAGCCGCCACCCGGCCGTAAAACCGGCTCGGATCAGCTATTTAACCGCCACGGTTTTATACAGCGGCCGGCGAGCGGCCGAAGCGGTTAACCGCTCGAGCCGCTCAAGCCGGTCGCGCAGTTCGACCGTTTGGTTTACCCTAAGAAAAGACCAATCGTGAAATGGGCCAGCCAAACAAAACCCTAATTTATCATTTTATTTCTTCATCTTCGACCTAGAAGTAGAACAGACGACAGAGGGAGAGCGGCGCCACCCTGCCGCCGTCAACCATCGCCCCAGCGCTTCCGTCGCCGCAAGCAGCGCGCCATCCGACAGCGGGGTAATTCATCTCCCTTCTTCTTCACTCTTTCCGTTGGTTCTGGGGATTTCTATGTTAGCATTTCTCCAGTGTGGGTATTATTGGGCTGTCGGTGGCGATTGGTTTACTGGGTATTTGATTAGTGGTGGATCTAGTAGTCGTTTGTCTGATCTTGACGTGATTAGCGTAGATTTTGAGATTTCCTGATAGGGGCAGCTAGTTTGCTTACGAAATGGACTGCTGGGGGATTAATCGATTAGATCTGTCTTCTAGAAGTTTCAGAATGGTAGTGTTAGATTTTCCATTGTAAATTTGCTGATTTGATCTTTTTTTTTGTACCGGTTCTCAAAGGGTTTTTAAACGGTCTAATGCCGACTGGACCACTAATGACCGAGCCGTTCACGTTACCGGGTCATACTCCGGCTCGGCTTTGACAGCATTGGTTTAATCCCCTATGATAATCTCTAAGAGAATTCTAGTGTGTCGATACGACACAAAGATTAATTGTAGAGAAATCATTTTTACCTCCAAATCATCATATTTCTTTCCACTAAAGATTAATCATAGAGATAAAAAAAAAATAGTTATTATGGAGGAAATAAATATGGTTGTTAGTAATAGGACGAAACCTTATTTGCTCCCCCCTGGCCGGTCAAAAGTACTAGACTGACTGTTGGACTGTATGGGAAATCGGAGGGTTCATTAATGAGCCAGTTGTTGGGAGCGGAGCATGCTATCAAGAACGATAAACTTAGAACGCCAGTAGTTAAGGAAAAGCACAATCAAAGTAAAAGGGAGCCGAAAAGCTAGCCGTTTGCATACTAAACTAAATTCATACTGCAATGGCAAAAGCTAACTGCAGCTAATTAGCAGAGGAATACTAGAAGCAAACATAGGCACTCTCTGCACTCTCTGACTGTGTAAGCTGGAAATCCAAGCCATATGGTAGAGGGGAAAGAAAGTAGGCCGGATAACGTCCCACTATTCGCCAGATCATGAAATACTGTTGGTTGGCGAAGGCGATTTCTCTTTCTCCTTGTCTTTGGCTCTCGCATTCGATTCCGCCACCAACATCGTCGCCATCTCTCTAGACACCTACGGTAAAATACTATATACCTATTTGTCTTCTCTCTCCGTCCACGTTCATCGATCACATTATGACAATCCACACTTACTAGTTACTATTCACCATATACAATACATAGATGAGTTAAGACAGAAGTACAGAAGAGCAGAGTCCAACATAGAAGAGCTGAAAAGTACAGGCGGCAGGCACGATGAGTTGAAAACGCAGAAGTTCGATCAAATCGTTTTCAACTACCCTCACTCAGGATTTCAACATTATCAGTTTTGGGGCCGTATGGAAAGCTCTCCCAACGTCATTGTTGTTAGTGTTGTGGTATATGATCCACGATTGAACCTTTCCCAACAACTCGAGTTATTGGGACCAACTGGTTCTTGACATGGTATCAGAGCCTTCTATGATCGAGAGGTCTTGTGTTCGATTCCTGGTGACCCCCATTTGTTAAGCACATGGTATTCTTGTCTTCAGACCTGTGCAAACTTCAAGCCCTTGTTAGTGACTTTCGTTTGAGGGGGGTGTGTTAGTGTTGTGGTATATGATCCACGATTGAACCTTTCCCAACAACTCGAGTTATTGGGACCAACTGGTTCTTGACAATTGCCAACCACAAGCAGCTAGTGGAAGAGTTCTTCAGGAATGTGAGTTGCATGCTAAAAAGAGGACCTTCGGGAGAAGTACACATCACCCACAAGACTGCACACCCGTTTTGCCTCTGGAACATTTTGGAGCTTGGTCAAGCTAGCTCCTTGATCTTTCTTTCCGAAAGTTGAATTCGGGGAGGAAGATTATCCGCATTACTGCAACTATTAATCAGTCTAGGAAATGAAATAAAAATAGAAACGAGACTCTGATTTACGTGGTATCCCTAGAATTTCAGGACTATCCACATAAGAGTTTGAGCACTCTTCGACTACTTATTTTACTGATATGTTTTCGTTGAGTTCTTTGGTTGCTGCTCTCATGACATATATTGGCCGAACCCTAGTCTCCTATACGTTGATCACTAGAGTTGCATAGGCCTTAAATGTTTACATGGGCTGGACTATTCACGTACAAAGGAATACATAATATAATTAACATTAACATCCTCCCCAAATTGATGCGTGTCTAACAACATCAATTTGCTAGACAAGAACAAATCCCGGCTAGTAGATAATGTCTTCGTCAATAAATCAGAGACATGATCCTCTGTACGAATATAATGCAGTGTCACTGTCCCATCTCACACCAAGTCCCGAGCATAATGGACGTGTATCTCAATATTTTTAGTGCGGTCATGCAACATCGGATTTACTGCGATTCTGATAGCACTAGTATTATCCACCACAAGCTCCATGGGCAACAGACAGGAAACTACAAAATGAGAGAGCAACCGACGAATCCATACAAGTTCGGACGTGACATCTGACATTGCCCGATACTCTGCTTCTGTAGAGGATTTTGACACTTTATCCTACTTCCTGCATCTCCAGGAAACATTAGCAGCCCCATACTGAACACACCATCATGTCGTCGATCTACGTGTATCAATGCAACCTGCATAATCTGAATATGAATAGGCTCGAAGTGTAGACTGTCCGGTCACAGGAAACACTATCCCAACATCACTTGTCCCTCTCAAATATCGAAGTAAGCAATCTACTACGGCTAAATGATCTACAGTAGGA